CGATGCCCTTGCGGTTGAAGGCTTTGGCGTCCTGCGTGCCGGCGTCGCGGCCCGTGGCTTTCTTGAAGCTGTGCTTGTCGACGATGCGGGTGATCTGCTCGTCGGTGAGGCTCACCTCGTAGTGCTTCACGATCTCGGCAAAGACGGCTCTGGGGTCCGCGACGAGGTCCTCGTACCAGACGATCATGCCCCGCTTCGGGTCGCGCCCGCGGGCCCAACCGTCGGTCCAGCGGACGTACTCGAGGAGGTAGTCGTCGATGAACAGGTCGATTCGTTCGCCGACCTCTTTCGCCTTGACCTCCGGGGTCATGCCGTGGTGGGCGTGCTCCATGTAGTAGGCCCAGCTGACGGCGACGTCGCGGTGGTCGCGGGTCATGATGACGTAGGGGCGGTCGAGCTTTCGGACGACCTCGAGGCTCTGCGGGTCGGGGCCGGAGTGGACGCGGGAGACGGTGTATCCGATGGGCGGCGGGTCGAAGTTGTCGTACTCGAGGACGTGGTCGTTGTACCACTCGGTGCAGGGCGGGGTCCACTTGATGTAGCCCGGGATCTCGCACACCATCCGGCGGAGCCAGGTGGTGCCGCTCTTGGGCTGGCCGACGATGAGGAGGTTGCGGTGCGGGTGGCGGTGGACGAGCGAGAGGGCGGCGCGCTGGACGACGCGGATGGGCTTGACGCGCGTCAGCCACCGCCGGGGTTTGGGCGCCCGGGCCTCGGTGTCGATGGGGGCGAGCTGCTTCAAGAGGGGCCTCAGATCTGGTCGAGGAAGCGGAGGTCGTTCTCGTAGAGCATGCGGATGTCGGGGATGCCGTACTTGCCCATCGCGATGCGCTCGATGCCGAAGCCGAAGGCGAAGCCGGTCCACTCGTCCGGGTCCAGGCCGACGGCCTGGAGGACGGCGGGGTCGACGAGGCCGCAGCCGCCCAGCTCGACCCAGTCGGCGGGCTTGGCGGGGTTGAGGGCGATCTTCATGTCGAACTCGGCCGACGGCTCGGTGAAGGGGAAGAAGCTCGGGCGGAGCCGGACCTCGGCGTCCGAGCCGAAGTAGAGGCGGGCGAACTCCATGAGGGTGGTCTTGAGGTCGACCATGGTGACGCGTCGGTCGAGGTAGAGGCCCTCGAGCTGGTGGAACATGAACGAGTGGGTCGCGTCGACGGTGTCCGGGCGGTAGACGCGCCCGGGGGAGACGAAGCGGAGCGGCGGGCCCCAGCCGTGCTCGATGGCGTGCTCCATGACGCGGATCTGGACGGTGGAGGTCTGTGTGCGGAGCATGCGGGGGCGGTCGGTGTCGCCCTGCTCCTCGATGTAGAAGTTGTCGATGGGCTCGCGGGCGGGGTGGCCGGCGGGGATGTTGAGCTTGACGAAGTTGTGCTCGTCGTCCTCGAGCTCGGGGCCCTCGGCGACGTCGAAGCCCATGCGGGCGAAGACCTCGCAGATCTCGGCGCGGACGCGGGTGAGGATGTGGCGTCGGCCCAGGCTCGGGGGGAGGCCGGGCTCGGTGACGTCGATCATCGGGCCTGTGGGCGCGCTCGCGCCGCCGCCCATCGCGGCCTGCTTCTGCTCGAAGGCGGACTCGAGGGAGCGCTTGACCTCGTTGGAGCGTTTTCCGACGGCGGGCTTGTCTTGCTTGGGCACGTCCTTGAGGCCGGTCATGGCCTGCTTGAGCTTGCCCTTGGAGCCGAGGAACTCGACGCGCCACGCCTCGAGCGCCTGCGCCGAGTCGGCGGACTCGAGGCCCGCGAGGCCCTGTTTTTCCAGCGTGTTCAGTGCGTCGAGCATGGGTCGAACTATACCAAGCCGGGCGCGCGTCGGTGGGTTTGCGGAGAGCGATGCCGAGGGTCTCGACGGGGTGAATCCCGGGTGTCGGCGCGTCGGGGAGTCGGGGTCCGCGCGCCCGTGCACGCGCTCGGCGCGCGCCCGGGCTCAAGTCCGGGGCGGTCTCGGTCCGAAAAAAATCTGCTCGATGCGATTCTATTTTCCCGCTCCGGTATTGACCGCCGGGGAAATGGGTCTATTCAGTATCCCAACGTCATTTGTTTCGTGCTCCGACACCCTTCCCTTTTGAAAGTGGAAACATGGCCAAGAAGAAGACCGCCAAGAAGAAGGTCACCAAGAAACGGGTCGCCAAGAAGGCGGCCGCGAAGAAGCCCGCTGCCAAGAAGCCCGCCGCCAAGAAGGCGACGCGCAAGAAGGCCGCCAAGAAGAAGACGGCGAAGAAGGCCGCTGCCAGGAAGCCGGCCGCGAAGAAGTCCACCGCCAAGAAGGCCACCCGCAAGAAGAGCGGCGTGAAGAAAGCGGCCTCGAAGAAGGTCGCGAAGAAGGCCCCGGCCAAGAAGGCGACCCGCAAGCGCGCCGCCAAGAAGCGCGTGAGCAAGAAGGCCGCCGCTTCGGCCTGAAGCCTCCTCGTCTCGGCCCCGTCGCACGCGTGACGGGGCGCTGGGCGTGGTCCCCGGGAGCCCGGAGGCCACGCCCTTTTTCATGGGCTCGTCGTGGAGGCGTCCGCGAAGAGGGCGAGGACGCTCCACGAGGTCCCCGACGGGCCCGCGTGCTCCATCACGAGGATCACGCCGCCGCCGTCCGGGATGACCTGGTCGCCCGTGAACTCCGCGAGGCCCTGGTCGGCGCTCGACTCCCCGAGGATCATCGGGGCGTTCTCGTACGCCAGGCGGTCGACGCAGACGCGGATGCCGCCCTCGGCCTTGTCCTTGTGGAGGATGTCGGCGTCGAAGGCGAGCAGGAGCGGGCCGGCCCGGTCGACGTCCGCTGACGATCGCATCCGCATCGAGGCGCCCGTGTCGTTCTGGATGGTGCAGAGGCCGCGGGCGAAGCTGCTGGTAGCGGAACCGGGGGTGCGCATGGCGAGCAGGGCCTTACGGGCGGCGCTCGCGTCTTCGGGCTCGATGAAGCCCGTGTGCGCGCCCAGCGCCTCGAAGGCGCTCGACGGGCTCGAGGCGTCTCGGAGGAGGATGGCTTCGAGCTCGACGACGCGGGGGTCGGTGTTCTCGGTGGCGTACTCCTTCGCCCTGCTGAAGCCGCCGCCGGACATGCACGAGAAGGTCGCGCCGGCGGCGAGGAGGATCGCCATGTTGGCGGTGAGGCGGGAGAGGGAGACGTTCCGGTTGTTCATGTCTTTTTCCTTGTCCCCCGGGTGTTGGTGTCGAGGCGTCCGTTCCTCGATACCCGGGCGGGCGGGAGGCGGTTCGCGGGGGGCCGGGTCGAATCGTTCGGCGCGGGCTCTTCCGCCTCAGCGCTTCCGACGGGTCCGCCGGTTGGCAAGGGGGAACAAAGAAAATTTTCGGAATCCACTTTCCAACCCCGGAATCCGTGGCATCGTCACGCCATCGTTTTCTCTTTCGCCCCGCACTCTCCAGAAAGGAGATCTTTCCATGGCGAACACCAACAAGTCGACCAAGACCACGACCAAGGCCGCGACCACCACCAAGGGCGCGGCGACCGCCGGCGCGAAGAAGCCGGCCGCCGGCAAGAAGAAGTAACCCCCTTGCCCGCCCGGAGACCGGGCGGCGCACGGAAGGCATGAAAAAAGCCCGTCACCGAGAGGTGGCGGGCTTTGTTGTTTTCCGGGATTGAGAGCGGGAGATTTACTCCTCGCCCTTGGCCTCTTCGGTGGCCTCGGGGGCGTCGTCCGCGGGGGCTTCGGCCTTGGGCGCCTCTTCGGCGACGGCGGCCTTGTCCTGCTTGGCGTCGCCCTTCCAGCCCTTGCGGACCTCGGCGGCGAAGGCGGTGCGCTTGTCCGCGGTGCGGCGGCGCTGGGAGAGGTTGTCGCCGATCTCGGGGCCCTCTTCGGCGCCGACGAACTGGATGACGCAGTACTCGGCGGCGTCGCCGATGCGTCGCTTGCCGAGGCGGACGATGCGGGTGTAGCCGCCCGCGCGGTCCTCGAATCGGGGGGCGACGTTCTCGAAGATGTGCTTGACGAGACGCGGGGACTTGCGGAGCTCGCCGTAGCGGTTGCGCTCGACCTCGTCGGACTCGGGGATGTCGAAGAAGTTGAGGGCGCGGTCGCTCATGCGCTCCACGCGGTCGCGGTCGCCGTCGTCGGCGTTCTTGTCGAGGTAGAGCCAGGCGAAGGCGCGGCGGTCGCCGCCGAGCTTGGCGATGACCTGACGCCGGGCGTGGAGGTCGCCCCGCTTGGCGAGGGTGACGATCTTCTCGACGAAGGGCTGGAGGGCCTTGGCCTTGGGGACCGTGGTGGTGATCTGGCCGTGCTCGAAAAGGCCCGCCGCGAGGTTGCGGAGGGTGGCGCGACGGTGGGCCGTCGTGCGTCCGAGTTTGTAGCCTGCCATGCGGTGTCTCATTGGTCCGCTCCTGATGCTTTCTCACGCGCTCCCGCGCGGGGGTGTGTTCAGACGGTGATGCCTTCGGGCAGTGGCATGCCGAGGGCGAGGTCCATATCGGTGAGCTTGCGCTTCACTTCTCGAAGAGATGTCTTGCCGAACGAGCGGACCTTGAGGAGGTCGGACTCGGACTTGGTGACGAGCTGGGCGACGGTGTCGATCTGGGCGGACTCGAGGCAGTTGCTCGCCCGGACGGAGAGCTCGAGCTCGGTGATGGGCATGTTGAGCTTGCGGATGAGCTCGTCGTCGACGCTCGCGGCGGCGGCGGCGGCCTCGGAGACGCGCTCCACGCCCACCTCGAAGAACTGCACGAAGGCGTTGAGGTGCTTGCGCAGGATCTTGGCGGCCTCGACAAGGGCGTCCTCCGGCGTGGTGGTGCCGTCGGTCCAGATGTCCATGATCAGCTTGTCGTAGTTGGTCTTCTGACCGACGCGGGTGTCCTCGACCTTGTAGCGGACGCGCTGGACGGGGGAGTAGTTGGCGTCGACGGGGATGACGCCGATCTCCTGCTCCTCCTGGTTGTTGTACTGCTCGGAGGCGGGCACGTAGCCGCGGCCCTTCGCGACGGTGAATTCCATCTCGAAGGTGATCTCGTCGGTCAGGGTGGCGAGGACGTGGTCCTTGTTGAGGATCGTGATGGCGGTGTCGGCCTCGATGAGGTCGGCGGTGACTTCACCGGGCCCGCCGGCGGCGAGGGTCATGGTCTTGGGCTCGTCGCCCTCGAGCTTCACCACGAGGTCCTTGACGTTGAGGATGATCTCGGTGACGTCCTCCATCACGCCCGGGATGGTCGTGAACTCGTGGTCGGCGCCCTTGATCTTGACGTTCGTGATCGCGGCGCCCTCGAGGGAGGAGAGCAGCACGCGCCGGAGGGAGTTGCCCACCGTGGTGCCGAAGCCGCGCTCGAAAGGCTCGACGATAAAGCGGCCGAAGGTCTCGGTCGCGAACTTGGGATCCACATTGACTTTGCTGGGCAGTTCGAGCCCACGCCATCTCACTCGCATCGTTCGTACTCCACTTCCGGCAGAACGTTGTTGTCAACGAACTGGACCCGTGTGTCTGCTCGGCGCTGTCCGCGGCTCTGCCGGTTGCCGCGGGGGCCTTCTGATCACCCGGGATGGTCCACCCTCCCCGGTGTGTCGGTTGATGATCCGTCGTCGCTCAGACGCGTCGGCGCTTGCGGGGGCGGCAGCCGTTGTGCGGGACCGGTGTGTGGTCCTCGAGGGCGGAGACGCGGAGGCCCTTGGAGACGAGGCCGTTGATGGCGGACTCGCGTCCCGCGCCGGACCCGCGGAGGCGGACCTCGATCTCGATCATGCCCATCTTGCGGGCCTTGGCGCCGCAGGACTCGCCCGCGCGGGTCGCGGCGAACGGCGTGCTCTTGCGGGAGCCCTTGAAGCCGATGGTGCCGGCGGAGTCCCAGCAGAGCGTCTCGCCCGCGGTGTCCGTGATGGTGACGATGGTGTTGTTGAACGACGCCTGGATGTGGGCGATGCCCTTGACGACGTTCTTGCGGATCTTCTTCTGCTTCTTGGCCATTGCTCTTTATTCCTCGTGGGGCTCAGCCCATCGGTGTGGCTGACTTAGCCCTTCACGCCCTTCTTGCCGGCGACGGTCTTGGCGCGACCCTTGCGGGTGCGAGCGTTGCACTTGGTGCGCTGGCCGCGGGTCGGGAGACCCCGGCGGTGACGGTCGCCGCGGTAGGCGCGGATGTCGCGCAGGCGGGCGATGTTCTGCTGGACCTGACGGCGGAGCGCGCCCTCGACGACGTAGTCCGAGTCGAGCATGCCACCGATGGCGGCGAGCTCCTGCTCGGTCAGCTCGGTCGCGAGCTTCTCGGGGTCGATGTTCAGCTTGGCACAGATCTCGTCCGCGAACTTCGGCCCGATGCCGTGGATGTAGCGGAGGGAGTAGCGCACTTTCTTGCGATCCGGAATTTCAACACCAACGATACGAGGCATCCCGCGTCGCTCCTTGCCCTGAGGGCCTTTGAATCAGCCCTGGACCTGCTTGTGCTTGGGGTCGTTCTTGCAGATCACGCGCACCTTGCCCTTGCGTCGCACAACCTTGCAACCGCTGCAGATACGTTTCACGCTCGATCGAACCTTCATCGCACGGACCTCTATTCGTGCCCGCGGATGACGGGCAGAACCATGAATTTACGTCAAAACGAACACCCCACGTCGGCCCACCGGGCGACGAGAAGGGCCGAACACTGTATCAGAAAGTCCTCAGGCGTGCACAAGCCTGACAAAGACCTCTCACTTTTCCCCAATTTCACCGTTCCGCCCCCCCGCTGGCCCCGCCCGGCGAGGCCAGGACACGGGCTCCGGTCGCCGTGACGGCGACCATCCGCTCCTCGTGGCAGGCGAATGAGCCGTCCGCTGTCCGGACGGTCCAGCCGTCCTTCGGGTCGAGCTGGACGGGCATGCGGAACGCCGGCAGCCCCGCCCGGCCCACGAGCCAACCCGTGATGGGGCCCCGCCCGAGCGTGAGCATGGGCTCGATGGACAGGACCATGCCTTCGCTCAGGGTGAAATCGTCGCCGCCGAAGCCGCTCCAGTAGCACGGGGCCTTGGGGGGCTCGTGGAGCTCGCGGCCGATGCCGTGGCCGACGTACTCGGTGACGAGGCCGACGCCCATCGCCTCGGTGCGATCCTCGAGCTCGCGGCCGATGTCCGACCAGCGCACGCCCGGCTTCATGCGCGAGACGGCGAGGTCGATGATTTCTCGGGTCTGCTCGATGAGCTTCGCGGCGGCGGGGTTGGCGTCCGCCCCCCCCACCACGATGGCGGTGGCCGAATCGCCGCACCAGCCGTCGAGCTTGAGGCCGACGTCGACGCAGAGCAGGTCGCCGTTTTTCAGCGCACGGTTGGAGGGGATGCCGTGGACGACCTCGTCGTTGACGGAGATGCAGGTGTCGGCGGGGAAGGGCGGGGTGTCGCCCTGGGTGTAGCCCTTGAAGAGGCTCGTCGCGCCTCGCGAGACGAGGTGGTGGCCCGCGACGGCGTCGAGGTCGTCGGTGCGGACGCCCTCGGTCGCGGCGTCGCGCACGAGATCCAGGCACTCGCAGACGAGCGAGGCGGCGCGGGTGAGGGCGTCGATTTCTTGTTGTGTGCGCTGCGCGATGTCGCGTTCGGGGCGCAGCACGGGCTCAGTTGGAGCGCGGGCCGCGGATCTTGGGGCCCTTGCCCTTTTCGTTGCCGCCGAGGAAGCCCGCGTAGTTGCGCATGAGGAGGTTGGCCTCGATGCGCTGGACGAAGTCGAGGCCGACGGAGACAACGATGAGGAGGCCGGTGCCGCCGAGGAACTGGGCGACGCCGAAGTCGATGTTGAGGTTGCGGTTCACGATCATGGGCACGATGGCGATGATCGAGAGGAAGCCGGCGCCGACGTAGGTGATGCGCTCCATGACGGCCTCGAGGTACTCCGCGGTGCGGGGCCCGGGGCGGAGGCCCGGGATGAACGAGCCGTGGTCGCGGAGCTGCTTGGACATGTCCTCGGGGTTGAACTGGACGGTGGTCCAGAAGTAGCTGAAGAAGTAGACCATGATGATGTAGAGGAAGACGTAGGGGAAGGCGCCCATCGCGAAGGCTTCGGAGAGGAAGTTCATCGACGAGTGGAGCGGCCCGCCGCCGGCCTGGGTCATCGCGGCGGCCTGGGAGAAGACGACGGAGGGGAAGATCATGAGGGAGGAGGCGAAAATGATGGGCATCACGCCGCCGTGGTTGACGCGGAGGGGGAGGTAGGAGCGCTGGCCGCCGACGACCTTGCGTCCGCGGGTGTGCTTGGCCTGCTGGACGGGGATCCGTCGCTGGGCGACGGTGATGAGGACCGCGCCGGCGACGACGCCGAAGAACGATGCGGCGAGGAAGATGACCTGCATCCAGGAGAGCTGGGGGTCGCCGCCCTGGTACTCTCCGAGGAGCATCTCGGCGACGCCGAGCTGGGCGATGGGCGAGTTGTTGACGACCCACATGATGGCGCCGGGCATGGCGGCGAGGATGCCGGCGGTGATGATGA